CTCAGGCTTTTGTTTGTTGACCTTGACAGTTTTGTTTTGAGGAGTACTAGTTAGGGATTTTGTAGAATCTTGATTGGGATCTGTCTGGTGTTTTTCTCATGATTAGCATGGGATCATACCTTCTTGAAAGGAAGACCACAGAGGTGAAGTGTGATTCTCATCTCATTGTATCAAGGGTATATACTATCATCTTGACTTACTGCTATTAATACTAATCTTGATCACCTGGCTGAGATGTCTGTCAGGTTTCTCCCTGTCAAGTGAATGGTCAAATAGTCTCTAAATTTGGTAGCATGAAGCAGATTTTGCATGACTACCTACTTGTCTATGTTCTTTTCTTTCTGCTTTCTCTGTAGGCAACTTCTGGCCATTTTTGTCATTAATAATGAATAACATAATGCAATATTTTTCTCTTCTCAGAACACTACAGTATCTTATTTGACCCTTTGTTTAGGATTTAGTTCTCAATTGGGTTTCTCCAATAGCTTCCTATATTCTGGTTCTACTTTCCACCTCTCTTACTCCCACCTTTCCTAGTTAATTCTTACTTATTGTAACTTAGAGTCACATCCTCAGTAAAGTTTTATCAGATTCCGTTAAGCTGTTCAGGTATAGTTCCTTATTGTTTAACTCTTATAGTACTACTTCACCCTAGTGTAACCAGTAAATCATTTGGGAAAACATAACACTAACACTCCTTAATGAAATCTCTGTTAGCTCAGTTACTAACACAGTTAGCTCAGTTACTAACTGAAAGGTTGGCAGTTTGAACCCACCCAAATGTTACTCAGAAGAAGGGCCTGGCAATTTACTTTTAAAAGATCACCAAAAAAACCTAAACTCACTGCCATGGAGTTGGATCTGACTCATAGCAGCCCCTCTTTAGGTTTCCGAGGCAGTATCGCTACAGAAGTAGATTGCCCAAAGTTCTTTCCGAGAAGTGGCTGGTGGGTTTAAACTGCTAGCCTTCTGGTTAGCAATCAGATGCCTTAGGCACTACACTACCAGAGCGCCTCTAAAAGATCACAGCCATTGAAAACCCTGTGAAGCACGGTTCTACTCCAGTATGTGGGGTTGTTATGAATTGGAGGCAGCTCAGCAGCAAATGGTATGATAAAACTTCTTAAGGTCTGGGAACTTTCATCTCTCTACCACCATTTCATTCAAGTATTTCACAGAGAAGATTGAGTAAATTCTTTAAACATACAACTCAGTGTACTGAATTGGTATTCATTGTTTTATTGTTGAGAAAACTAAAACTAAGAGAAGTTTTCCCCAAATTAAAAACTAAGTAATAGTAACAAAAAGATTAGCCAGTTGTTCAGGCTTCAGAATCTTATTCTCTGTGCCACCCCCACCCCCCCCATTCAGAACATGATGGAAGAATGTTTTGTTTTATTGACTTTATTAGGGTTTTTTTTTTTTTTTAATATTTCATTGTGATTGGGGTGCAGATTTACAAGGCAGATTCGTTTTACTCTCAACAGTTCATGCACATTTGGTTTCACGACCCCAGTTACAATCTAGCAATATAAAGCTCTCTTCCCATTTTCTCCTTGCCACCACTCCCTCCCTCTGTCCTTCTTAGCTGTGCATTCCTGTCTGTCCAGCTTTTCCCCTGTGCAAATACTGCCCTTCTGATGTCCAACAGTCGATCTAAAGGGTGCATCTTCCTAGGATAGGTTGGTACACCTTTCTGGGCTAGGTTTTCTGCTCGTAGCCCTTTCTGCTGTTTGGCTGAGAGCTAATCCACAGAAATGAGTCCATCTCCAGGCCTGAGATATAACTCGGGTCCATAGGCTAGGATTCCACTGGTCTCTATCTGACCAGTAATTCTGCTCATTCTTGTGTTTTTTGAATTTTGTACACATTTTTCCTCCCACTCTGTCCAGGATCTCCAGTTTTGATCCCTTTCTGAGTGATAGGAATTGGTCACCAGGCACCATGTAGTTCTTCTGGTTTCAGGGTTGTGAAGGTTGAGGTCTCTGTGGTCTATCATACCCTTGGATTGTTTCTGTATGACTTTGATTTTCTTTATTCTTCTCTCCTCCAGATGAGGAGATACCAATAGTTGCATCTTAGATGACCACTTGAAAGCTTTTAAGGCTCCAGTCACTACTCACCAAAGTAGAATAGAAAGCAAGATTTTTATGTACTGTTGTACCAGTTGAGCTTGATGTCTCCTAAGATCGTGGTCCCAAGCCCACAGGCCTGGTGACTCTCTCCCTCAAGGTTCTCGAGAAGCTACTCCAATCTTGTCCCCTGTTGGTTCTGTAATGTATATGGATATTTTTCTAGCACAGATAACATATATAAGAATATCAGCAGCCAGATCTATCCACGGTCATGGGTATATTCCTGTTCATCTGCCCACACTTGGTCTTCTCCCTGTCTATGCCTTTACCCATAGAGTAGTGTTAGCTGCCACTGGTAATGCAGTATGTGTATGTAATAATGTTTGCCTCTGTTGTATGTATCTTTTGTGCATGTTTCTGTGCCCTTGTTTTCCTTATTGTTACTGTGCTGGTCACACACTTTGTTACGTTGGCTTTCCCTTTATCCATATCAACGCAAGAATCTTAACTAGTCAGAAATTTTCCCTCCCCTTCTCTACATCCCTGCTAACCAGCAAAGTAAATCGCCTTCCCTATGTATACCTTTCCTTGACTTTTTATAATAGACTCATAAAATATTTGTCCCTTTGAAATTGACTTATTTCACGCCACATAATGTCCTCCAAATTCATCCATGCTATGAGGTGATTTGTAGGTTGTTGTTTAATCTTTAATGTTGCATACCATTGTGTGAATGTACCATAGTTTGATTATCCATTCATCTGTTGATGAGCACTTAGGTTGTTTTCATCTCTTTGCTATAGTGAATTGTGTTGCTCTGAACGTGGGTGTGCATATTTGTATTCATGTTCTGGATCTCACCTCTTTGGGATATATTCCTAGTAGTGGGATTACTGGATCAAATGGTATTTCTGTTTTTAATTTTTTAATGAAACACCATATCGTTTTCCACAGTGGCTGTACCATTTTATAGTCCCACCAGTAGAGTATGAGGGTTCCAGTCTCTCTACAGCCAACATTTGTTATTTTCTGGTTTGTTGAACTTTGCTGTTATTTCTGGGGCATGATGATAATCTCGTTCTTTTGATTTGCATCTCTCTAATGGGTTATGAAGGAGCTCTGGTGGTCAGTGCCTAGGGCATTAGACTACTAACCAGAAGGTTGGTGGTTCAAACCCACCAGCCATTCCACAGAAGGAAGGATGAGTCAATCTACTTCTATAAAGATTTACCACCTCAGAAACCCAATGGGGTGTTGCTGTGAGTCAGAATTGACTCGATGGCAGTGAGTTTGGTTTTCTTGTAATGGCTAATGATTGTGAACATTTCCTCGTGTGTTTCTTGGCCACCTGTATATCTTCTTTAATGATTAGTGTCTATTCGTGGCCTTTGCCCATTTTTGAATTGGATTGTTTGTCTTTTTGATGTTGAGGTGTTGAAGTTTTTTTTCTTTTAAATGTAAATTTTAAGAATAAGTCCCTTGTGAGATATGTCATAGCCAAATATTTTTTCCCAATCTGTAGGTTCTGATTTTACTCTTTTGGAGAAGTCTTTTGATGTATATAAGAATTTAATATGTAAAAGGTCCCAGTCATCTAGTTTCTCTTCCACTGCTTTGATAAGTCTATGCCATAAATTAGGGCCCCTAGGTTTGCGTCTGTTTTATCTTTGATGAACTTTATAGTTTTGGGTTTTACATTTAGGTCTTTGAGCCTTCTTGAGTTCGTTTTGTGTAGGGTGTGAAGTATGGATCTTCTTTAATTTTTCTGCAAATGGTTATCCAATTTTGCCAGCACATTTGTTAAAGAGGCTATATCTCCCCCATCGAATGGGTTTTGGCTATTTGTCAAAGGTCAGCTGTCCATAGATGGATGGGTATTGACCTTACTTTTAAAGATAACCATGCAAATATGCTTATTTTAAAGAACTGGAAAGAACTCTCTTTTATGCAGGTGAGCTTTGTGAGAGGTTATAGAAATTAGTCGTAACTAACCTACACAGTAGCTTCACTTTTTAGAGAAACGGCTAGACTATGAGCTTTTTATTGGAAACTTATATCTATGATTTTTAATGATTTTATCACTATGTGAACTAATACTTTAAACTTTTCTTTATTCTTAATTTTGTCAAAATTTAGGTTATTTTCCTAAATGATTACCTTTTAACTTATAAATAAATAATACATTATATTTATAGGTTGTTATTATAAATATCATTAATAAAAACCGGAGAATCGGTTGATCATAAATGGGCCAGAAGTTCAGTCTATGGCAGGTTTGTATTAGTGGCCTTGGAAAGTCTTTGGACCATAAAGGATTAAAAGCACAAAGGGTCTGAGTTCTGCTATGTTTTTATATATTTTTATCTATTCATTATCTGTTGGCGTGTAATAAATTACAATAAACTTAGCAACTTAAATAATACGTGTTTATTGTCTCAGAGTTTCTGTGAATCAGGAATCCAGTCATGGCTTAGCCAGTTGAGTCCTTTGCTTAAAAGTGAGTCTTCCTAAAGATGTAGTCATGATGTTTGATAGGCCTAGTTTCTCACCAAAGGCTTGACTGGAGAAGGATCTGATTCCAGTTTCCCTCAGATTGTTGGCATAGTTAATTTTCTAGCAGCTCTAGTAAGATGAGCACTGTACTCTTAGGTGATGACATATACATGATCACGTGCATCCCATCCCTTTTGCCACATTCCCTTGGTTAGAAACGTATATACAACAGGTTCTGCCCACACTTAAGGAGAGGGGGATAGAGATTACACAAATATATAATACCAGGAGGTGTAGGGAATCATGGGACCACTCATTTTTGCTCTGCACTATTATATTGTATTATTTCTATTAATTTAATACTACCACCAAAAGAAAAGAGAGGTAATTATGATTTGTGGTTCTTTTTTTTTTTTGTTGTTGTTGTTGCAGTGGGTTTAAAGTTGAATTCAGTGGATCCAACAGTGAGCATTGATCTTAAATACTTGGGAGTACAGCTACCTTTGGCTCCAGCTACTAGCTTTCCTTTCTGGAACCTTACAGGAACCAACCCTGCCTCTCCTGGTGAGTGTGCAGTATTTGTAAAATGAAGTATTAATTTTCTTATTTAAAGTTAAGGTTATTTGTGCTGTGCTATGAATAAAAAGTTACTTTTTCAGAGACATTTTAGACACTCCATGGTCAGACCTTTAAATTATTGGCATAGTCTTAACAAATGACTTAGATATAAAATATTGGTTTGTTAGAATTTTGGTCATCTCTTTTTTTCTTTTATAGATGCTGGATTTCCCTTTGTTTCTAGGACAGGGAAGACCAATGACTTCACCAAAATCAAAGGATGGAGGGGGAAGTTTCATAGTGCTTCTGCATCTAGGAACGAAGGTGATCAGTTTTTTGTTTTAATTTTTTAAAGACCTAAATGTGTACTGACATATGTAGCCAAAGCCTCTTGTTAAAAGTAGTCCTTGTTTACTTTCTTCATCTTTTCTGTGCATGCTTTAAAGTGAACTGAGAATAAATTGATTACCAATTTTTGTTTATTCTGTTTTCCCATAATCAGAGTCCTAGTTTAGTCCCTAGCCGTATCAGGCTTAAATAATCCCTGCAGCCTTTTAAAGTACTTTTTCTGTTATTCCTACAGTTAGAAAAAGCATCATCTTACGTGTTGTTTTTTAATAGTAACTTTAAGAGCTCTACTATGATTCCTATAGCCTACTATATCAAAGTGAACTTCTAGTATTTTGACTGTCGGTCTCCTTTCATAGTTTTTTTCTTTATCCAGTGCACTTACTGGCAGTTTACATTCTAACCAGATAAATTACCATTCATTTGTTTAAATAGCTTTCCTCATCTTTGAATCTTTGTACTGTTTTATAGTGTAATGTTTAGCTTACTACTAAGCTTGCTTGTTTGATCCTTAAAAACTACATTTTATCAGGGATTGGGGAGTGCATGAGAGGGAAGGACAAAGGGAAGAGTTAACTATGGGGAGGAAATAAAAAGAGAGCTGTTACATTGTGGGGAATTGCAGTCAGTGTTATGAGGCAAAATGTATATGACGGGCTGTATGGAAAATGAACTTGCTCTGTAAACTTTCACCCAAATCACAATAAAGTTTTTCTTTTCTTTA